CAGCTGTGGTCATCAGCCTCTTCAGCCAGGCTACAGCGGCACAGCTTTGGCTTAGACAGCAGTCTGTCACAGTGACAGGGTCTTGTTAATGCTTTTAATCTTTTGGGCCTAATTAATTCATCTAAATTAATACAACAGTCTAAAACAGCCCCCCCTCCTGAATATAGAAAAAAGAAAAGTGCCCCCTCAAAAGGGTTTAACTTGTGCCCTGCAATTTCTGGCTGATGTTAATCATTTATATCCTTGCCAATATGGTAAGTACTTCAGTAAAAATAACTAAAATAAGTCCCTGCTCAGAAGAGATTAACCTTGGATGGGGCTGAGATATGGAATTGACAAACTGACGAGATTAGAACATAAACTAGAAAGGAAGTTTGGCTTTGGCTTAAGACATTAACATGTTCATTTTACATGGCCCATTCAGGATCCTGCAATTCTTTTAATAAGAATAGAGGTTAATCCAAGTATCATTGAGCAAAATATTTCTGTCTTGTATGTGCCATTTAGTTTTCACCATTCTCCCTCCTGAAATGGTATCCGTATTGTATAATCTATCTTATAAAGTGCTTTGAAATTAAAGGAACTATATAAATAGCTAACCAAATTGTAAGTATGGTATGAACTATTGATTTACAGTTTTGACTGGGCTCATTCTCAGTGAGCTAGCACTCATTCAAGCCCCAAGTTGTGTAAGATGACAGGAATGTTATGCTATTCTTTGAAGTGAGGTAGGATCATAATGTAGACTGCTATCTGTTTCCAAAAACAGGTATCAGCATTTGTCATAGGCTATTCCTATTACTCCTGCTGTGTGTGAAACCAGCATGATTGCATCCCCCATGTAAATAACCACATACCATCAAGGACACCAATTATTTTCATAAGCAATCTCCAACATAGCCATGGTATGCCTCTGGTACAAATTGATTCTATCTCCTAGATCCAGATCATAGTAACATGTGCCAGCAATAGCCCATATGACTGTCTCTGGATCATACAGACTTACTTTCTATAACAAGAACATGTCTGTTACATTGGAAGAGGGGTTGTTCTTATCCATCTAGAAATCTAAACCTAACACATGGCGGGTGCTACTGCAAATAAATAACAGACATAAAACAACCAGCCAGAGTTACTGGCATCTGGTACTAACTTTACACTACAGAAAGGCCTGGAGCTATAAGTGAGGTCTTTGTAATGACAACACCATTGCCACAGGTATAATGTATAAATTATTTGTTTATCTAGCATCAAAAGCAAATAAGGCATATGGCCTGCTTGGCCTCATCTGCTTTAACCAAGCAATTGGATTATAGGTGTGGCATAATAGAAAGATCATAACAACAGCACTTGCAAAGAGTTTTATATGGAGCTATACCTATCTCATAGAGCTGGAAGGGACCTCATGGCAGGACTAAGTACCATCCCTGACAGATTTGCCCCAGATCCCTAAATGGCCCCACTCAAGGGTTGAGCTCATAACCCTTGGTTTAGTAGGCCAATGCTCAAACCACTGAGCTAAGTACTTAATTAAGTACTTTAATAAAGTATTAATTAAGGTTACAACGCCACAAAACTGCTGGGATATTGACAATCAGTATATGGCACATAACTTAGGAACACATGTAGCACCTATTTCTCAACAGATTGTGAGAGTACTGAATCTGGTATGACTGGAGCTATGCATCATGAAGGTTTGATTTTTATGTGTGTGTAATCCATTTGCTAGTTTGCAGATCTCTATGCATGCCCTATGTATTTAATGTTGATTTTTGCCAAATTTGTTTCTGTTGCAGGAGAAAGATAAGCCAAAAAAGTTAAAAGGTTTTATTTTGTCACTTTTTGGACTAAACATTTTGGCTTTCTTGGTTTGAAATGACTTCATTTTCAAAACAACAAATAGTCTGGTAGCACTTTAAAGACTAACAAAACATGTAGATGGCATCATGAGCTTTCGTGGACACAGAAAGTGGGCTGTGTCCACGAAAGCTCATGATACCATCTACATGTTTTGTTAGTTTTTAAAGTGCTACCAGACTATTCGTTGTTTTTTAAGTTTATCCTGTACAGACTAACTTGGCTATCCCTCTGAAGCTTTCGTTTCAAAGTTTCTTTTTATTGGGGTTTTAAAAATAAAATTACACATTAAAAAAGGGCAGCATTTAAATAAGATGTTTTGATTTTGTTGAAAGAAAAGCTTTTGTTTGACCTAAAACTCGTATTTTCCAACTTTTTGATTCACTGAAAATTTCAAAAAACGTCATTCTTGGTTCAACAGGAACCAAAATTTTAAAAAGATATTGACAGTGAACCAAAAAAAAAAATCCATTATTTATTCTTTCCTATGCAAGTTCCTCTCAGTAGACCTGAGATATTCATGGAGCAGAATATACAATGGAAAATCTTCATTGTGCCACTGCAGAAAATGCCATATTTTATTTCGCAAAATAATAGTTAATTCTTTCCCTGCCGTACGCAAGCAGTCGGCATCACATTTCTAAACCTCCCCTTAATCTCGGGCATGCAGCCAATGTCCTAGCTCAATGTGAGTGTTGGACACTGATTGGCAACACTGTTAAATGAACCCTGCATGCTCAGTCCACATTCCAGCACAATCAGTCCAATTTATACACCATGGTTTTCTCCTCTTCCACTTGGATGGTAGTTTACCTGCTAAATGCTGGAGTTTATCGTGTATCCAAGAAAAGAATAGGCAATGAATGCTATGCAGGGTTGCCTGATAGATATGGCTGTTGTCTGGATACAACAACTGAAGCTGAGAGATGTTAGCAAGTGGTGTATGCATGTTTTTTTTTTTTTTAACAAAATCTATGTTTAAACAAAATTAAGAGAGCAGAGTTAAGCATTCACAATAATTAAGTTTGCCAGTGCAGATGTGGATGCTGGACAGTACAAAGTTAATTGATGTGGGGATTGGTCTAAAATTATATTTCATCCGATAACTTTGTAATAGTAATTTTCTCACACATGAAGGAAGGGTAGGGGGAGTTAAAAAATCAATGAGATTTGGTCAAAAATCATATATTTTCTAGAAAAAAAGGATTAAATAATGTTTTTGACTGTCCTGATTTTTGAATTTTTGGCATTGGTAACACAGCATATGTGTGTTGTCTTGGCTGGTATCTATCTCACATCTGATATGGAATTTCTCATGGATACCATACAAACTGGCAATAAGGTCTTACATGAAATAAAAGGCATGGGGCCCCATCTCATGCTCTCCTCTCTGGAGAACGGGTCCCTCCACCACTATGTGAGCACCACTCTGAAGGCTGGCTACCCAAGAAGAAAAAAATCCATTTATTCTTCAGACTAGGCATGCTGTCTCTCTAGTAAAATAGCTGACATCAGAGACTCTGTGTGGTGAAGGTTTACAATCTTAGATGGGGCTACTATAAGGTGGGTGCATAACTGGCTGGATAACCATACTCAGAGAGTAGTTATTAATGGTTCACAATCCTGCTGGAAAGGTATAACTAGTGGGATTCCGCAGGGGTCTGTTTTGGGACCAGCTCTGCTCAGTATCTTCATCAACCATTTAGATATTGGCATTGAAAATACACTTATTAAGTTTGCAGATGATACCAAGTTGGGAGGAGTTGCAACTGCTTTGGAGGACAGGGTCATAATTCAAAATGATCTGGACAAATTGGAGAAATGATCTGAGGTAAACAGGATGAAGTTTAATAAAGACAAATGTAAAGTGCTCCACTTAGGAAGGAACAATCAGTTTCACACATACAGAATGGGAAGCGACTGTCTAGAAGGGAGTACGGCAGAAAGGGATCTAGGAGTTATAGTGGACCACAAGCTGAATATGAGTCAGCAGTGTGATGCTGTTGAAAAAAAAAACAAACATGATTCTGGGCTGCATTAACAGGTGTGTTGTGAGCAAGACACAAGAAGTCATTCTTCCGCTCTACTCTGTGCTGGTTGGCCTCAGTTGGAGTATTGTGTCCAGTTCTGGGCACCGCATTTCAAGAAAGATGTGGAGAAATTGAAGAGGGTCCAGAGAAGAGCAACAAGAATGATTAAAGGTCTAGAGAACATGACCTATGAAGGAAGGCTGAAAGAATTGGGTTTGTTTAGTTTAGAAAAGAAAAAAACTGAGGGGGGACATGATAGCCGTTTTCAGGTATCTAAAAGGGTGTCATAAGGAGGAGGGAGAAAACGTGTTCATCTTGGTCTCTGAGGATAGAACAAGAAGCAATGGGCTTAAACTGCAGCAAGGGAGGTTTAAGTTGGACATTAGGAAAAAGTTCCTAACTATCAGGGTAGTTAAACACTGGAATAAATTGCCCAGGGAGGTTGTGGAATCTCCATCTGTGGCGATATTTAAGAGTAGGTTAGATACATGTCTATCAGGGATGGTCTAGACAGTATTTGGTCCTGCCATGAGAGCAGGGGACTGGACTCGATAACCTCTCAAGGTCCCTTCCAGTCCTAGTATTCTATGATTCTATGAATCTACAATCCAGGTAGCAACCGGGTAGTCTCTTGGCAATGAGACCAGAGCAGTGTCAAAAATGTTTTTAAGAGTGGGGAAAAGTGACTATTGTCTTAGCCAGGCATGTCCAAAGTCCGGCCCGCGGGCCAATTGTGGCCTGTGTTCCGGTTTAATATGGCCCCCGCTTCCTCCCCCTCTCCCGGCTCCCCGGTGCTCTTTTGAACTGACGTGCCCAGCGCGCCGCTTCCTGCCAAGCATAAGGGCATAAGGATCTGGCAGGAAAAGGGGTTTTTGCGCAAAAATAAAACATCCACACTACTTTTTTTCCTGCAAAAACCCTTTGTGCAAAAATGGCTTGCATAAATTATGCAAACGAGGCATGGTGATATGCTAATCCGAGCCTCATTTGCATACTCACTGTCAGCAAAACCAGCAGTGTAGACATAGTCATTGTGAGCTATAACTGACCTATTGATCTACAGCTTAGCACCAGTTTCCAAACATTCAGCTATACTCACTTGATTGGAAAAGACCATTGCTGCCCTCTCTGTTACTGTCATAGAGCAGGGAACTTCCAGCTCTTGTCTCACTGAATGTCTTGAAGGTGACTCATTTAGCTATCCTTCCCACCACAGAAAGAAGGAAGATGCAATCTCCAGAAAGCAGTGTCACATCCTAAATAGGCAAGTGGTTATTGCAAATGTTCTAGCATGCTTTCTGGGCTCTGGTCATTAATGCCCTGGTTATGAGTCATGGGAGTGACAGTGGCAGCCATCCAGTGCCCAGAGCATAATGGTTGCCTGCTGGGTAAGTGGAGACATAACTGTTGTGACATTACCTAAAAGAAAAGTGACCAAGTTTATACTAATTGCTACTATTGCTCAATTGTGAAATCTTGAACAAAGCAGGTTTGTAAGGTATCACTGGAAAAGGTAGCGTCTGCTAATATGATTATCCCATTTCATGTATCATCTTTATACAGAGGTGACTGGTGAGAGGGAACTCAGGAGACCACTGGCCACATGACCTGACCCCCTCCTGGGGACGGGCCAGGACAACCCTTCCACTCCTGCTCCACCCTTGATCCATCCTGTCCTGCCTCGCTCCTTCCCTGCTCTGCCCCCACCCTACTTCTTTCCTGTCCTCTCCCTGCCTCTTCTGCACTCCTCCTCCAACCTTCCGCCTCTTCTCCCAACCAAGGCAGCCCAGGCGGGAAGAGTAGTGCCAGCAACCGGATCCACTCTCTCCCCACACTCACTTGTAGTGGTGGTGGGAAGCAGAGCAAGGCAACCCTAGCTGCTTTGCTCCGCCATCTGCATTGCTCTGCTCCTACTGGGGAGCATGGGACTGTGTGGCTGGGAGCGCCAAGCAGCTAGGGTCACCTTGTTCCTTGCTCTGCTTCTCCTGCAGCTGCTGTGAGGGCAGGGGCAGGGGGGTCTGGATACCTGCTGCCAGCACCAGACTTCTCTCTCTACCCCACCTTTGCCTCTCTGTTGGCTGCTGTCTGGCCATTCCTGCCCACAGCTTTTGGGGGGACACTCCGGGTCACCCCTGTCATTAAATACGAAATTATGAAACTTTGCTATGTGTTTGTATGTTAAACCTGCTGTGTGTCTGGGTAGCATCCCCCAAGACAGATTGACATCCAGGCTAGCCAGCCTGTTTGATGACCCATTAAGGACAATCCATTCTCTGAAGTCTCCTCAGGCAGCAGGTAGGAAAAAATTCCTCATGACTCCACAAGGCACGTGTCCCAGGACTCCATGCTTGTGTCATAACATTTTATGCTTCTGGAATAAGAGCCTACATTATGGTCTATGCTTTTATTCTTGCTCCACTTCTCTGGAAATGATCCCTAACAAAGGACTAATGACGAGCAATTTTTGGGGGGTGATCCAGGGAAACTTGCAACAAACAGGTAGATTTACATCATCGCTGATGTCACAATCTACAAATTCTGAAATCAGCTGTAAGGTATGTGTTTTATTGTAATCTCTTAACTCTCTTCTCTTTTTTTATTGGCCTTTTGTTTTTACTTATCAAAGGAGTGGCTATTGGCATGATTTTGGGGTAAAACCTGCATTGTACGTTGAACTGGGAGAACTTAATATATGCGACTTATTTTTAATAATCATTTATAACAGAACTTTGATTTTGTCTGAGTGGTACATAAGGAGCAATCCTGAAGGGGACTGTCTGTGGCTTTATAATAACTGGTATAGTTGAAAGAAGTGGGTGTATCCTGCTCCTTTTTGTGATGTGCATAGACTAAGGCCAAGTCTACACTGGCACTTCATAGCGCTGAAACTTTCTGGCTCAGGGACACCCTTTTCCCCCAAGTGCAGCAAGTTACAGCGCTGTAAAGTGCTAGTGTGAACCAGGCTACTGTTAGCTACTCACCTCCCAGAGGAGCTTTACATAGAGCTATGTCATAGGCACACTTCCAGTGTAAAGCATTGCACTTAAAACTATTACGTGTAGACAAAGCTTAAGTGTGTAGACACCGATTGGAGTGCACCTACCAGTGGGATTAGGGAGAAGCATCGCACCAATATGTCATGCATGCAAACAGAGAGGCTGTTCCAATAAGTTGCTTATGAGAGAGGCTGCTTTGTAGGGTGGGTAGAGGTCACCAATGAATAAGACAACCGTGCAATACAACCTGCCAAGCTGTTGTGTTTCTATTTATTGCTATATCCTCAGTCTGTGCTACTAAATACAATACTGTCAGGGGATGAGCTCAGGAATCTTTTCCTTCGCTGTGTGATTGGATGGACCATGAGTGAAGGAATGTGACCATCTCCATAGGTCCGAACCCCTCCTTTCCACCTTTTTACATATGGCCAAGCCGTGGCCCCTTGGGGAGGGCTGCCGTGACTTCTCTGGCCTGCCTCCGCTGCCGTCTTTTCCCCTGTCGAGGGGACGGGAGGAGTCGGCCAGCTGCCATCCTCCGTCGGGGCCCGGTTCGGGGTCATGCGGGGTTCCAGCACCCTGTCACACCATGTTACATGATAATCCAAATGCACCATAACTACAGCTTTCATACTTTTAAGTGATATTTAAGCTGCTGAGTGTCTTTCAGGGTAATTCCTGCTAGCAACTGACGATCCCAGCAGACAATTTGGCTACGTCTACACTGGCATGAATTTCCGGAAATGCTTAAAACGGAATACTATTCCGTTTTCAGTTTTTCCGGAAAAGGAGCGTCTACATTGGCCGCGGAGTTTTCGTGATAACGATGCACTTTTCCGGAAAAGCGCGTCTACATTGGCGGCGCGCTTTTCCGGAAAAGCAAAAGCCCGGAACCATTTTGAAGAGGGCAAAGGCCACCAGACCTTTCCGTGCTCCCGTGCCTTGGGGCCTCTGCCAGGGACTGGCACCCTTCACAGGGTCGGTGGTTGCCCTGTGAGTTTTGGGGACACCACCCTTTGGCCCCCCAACAGCTTTTCCCGGTGTTTTGTTTTGTCTGCCCTGCTCTGTCTGCCATGGAGCCGTGGGTGGCCATGTACCTGTTCGGGCCCCTGTTGGAGCTGTACAGGTGCCTGGAGCTCGTGCTGCAGGCTGGGGCCCTGCTGTACACATACCAGGAGGCAGAGATCGCCTCGGACTCCCTCACCAGAGAGGTGCTGGCAACCGTGTGGCATCAGCACCCCACTGTGGAGAGGCCCATCTGGACTTTGGAGACCAGCACCGACTGGTGGGACTGGGTGGTCCTCGGATGATGGGACGACTACCAGTGGATCCGGAATTTCAGAATGAGAAAGCGGACCTTCTTGACGCTGTGCACCTGGCTCACCCCCGCGCTGCAGAGAACCGCCACCCGGCTGCGGGCACCCATCCCCGTGAACAAGAGGGTTGCCATCGCGCTCTGGAAGCTGGCCACACCGGACAGCTACTGCTCGGTGGCACACTAGTTCGGGGTGGGAAGATCCACTGTCGGAGTGATTGTCATCGAGGTAAGTCCCAGGGGGAGTGGGATGGGGGGAGGGTGCTGCACTCCAGTCCCAGGGACAGCCAAGACTCCAGGCTGGGGCACCCAGGGGTTTGGGCCGTCT